CGGGGTGACCCCTGAGGCGGTAGCTCAGGTGTGCTCCCCTCCTGGTAGGGCCTGTGCCCGCCTTGGGTGCCGGGCTAGCTGGGATGTCGTTAAAGGTGCACTGATGAGTGGATTTGGTGGGTTTTGTTGCTGTCTCTAGGCTCCTATGATGCCGCAGTTAAGGTCAGGGAAAGTGGTAACTGCTAGCGACGTGAAGTGGGCTGACAGCATGGTCACCGGCCCAAGCTCTCTGGGTGCGAGGGTAGGACGTGAGCCAGGGAAAAAGTTGGTAGTCAAGCAGAGTCCTCCCCTGGCACCAAAGAGAAAGCCTGAGCAGACCTTATCTTCCTGTCTGCAACCTGCCATGCTCTCCAGCCTTTCCTGTGAGCAATTTGCTCCTCTTGTGCCCATGCAGAAGGAGCAAGGTAAGAGTAGCCAGAGATTCCCAGGTAGAAAATACAAGGGGATACAGTGCAGGAGGGCTGCCAGACGCAGCAAGGGTGTAGCTCTGCCGATTTCAGATACTGCTGTATGTGAAGATTGGCAGGCGGCGACTACGGCTGCAGCACTGTGCTGGGATGAGACTGTAAGGAGAGGGACAGGACAAGGTCAACAGCTATTTCTCTCAGGAACTACTTTGCAAAATAAATTCTCAGCAGGGATTGGAAGGAAAGAACATAGCTCAGAAGGACTGAACCTCTCAGGTTTCCAGGAGAGTTCAGGGAGCTCAGGGAAAAAAGATAAATATTCCTTCATGGAAATAAAATTACAAATCCCATCCTCAGAGGAGGAAATTGAGAGCACAGAGAGACGTGGCATTTCTTCTTTGCCAGAACCAGAGGTGCTGCAACCCAGAAAGGGCACATGTAGCACTGAAATGAAAAGCACTGACTCCATAACGATACTAAAGGTGCAAATCCCGGATCTTAAGAAGAATTTGGGGACTCGGGAATCGTCGTCTGAACCAAAACCTCAGGAAGAGGTAGATATGCCAGAGAAGTTGGATGGGTGTTCTTTAGTTGGATCAAGAAAGCCAGGGACACAGGAGAAAAGAAAGAGATGCTTGAGCAAGAAAGGCGGGACATCTTTCATGAAACCAAAACTACAAGGTCCCAGAGAGAGGGGTACATCTGCCATGCTAGAACTGCATACGCAGTGCCCAAAGTCCAGGAAAGGAGCTGTTAGTCTGAGGAAGAGGGACAGAAACGCACTGGTGTCACAGCGGCTACAGGGTCTAAGCGGCCAAGGACAACCAACAGCCAGAGGAAAGATGCACAAGCATTGCGTGAAAGAAGAGCAGCAGAGCTCAAACCTTCAGAAAGGAGCAGACAGCCTGGGGGAAAGTGGTAAGCGCTTGTGCCCCATTGCAGACGTACAGGTGCAGAATTTGGGCTCCCACGATGAGGGGTTGGTGCTGCAGTAAGACCCCATTAAAAAGTGAAAAAATGGGAAGTAATTTTTATTTTGCAGATGTGTCTGTGTGGGATAAAGTCGTGGGGGCAGGAAAGAGCGGCCTGTCCCCTCTCT